GTCACCGAGGACGTCTCCAAGATCGAGGCCCCCGTCACCTGGAAGGCCTACGTGATCTGCGCCTTCGCCTCCTTTGGAGGTATCTTCTTCGGATACGACTCCGGATACATCAACGGTGTCATTGGTAACACCGCCTTCATCCGCAAGGTCGAGGGCAACGACTCGGCCACTGCCATGAACGAATCCGACCAGTCTCTCATCGTCTCTATTCTCTCCTGCGGTACATTCTTTGGCGCTCTCATTGCTGGTGATGTCGCCGACTGGATTGGTCGCAAGTACACTGTCATCTTCGGCTGCTTCATCTACATGATCGGTGTCATCATCCAGATGCTTACCGGTATTGGCGCTCCTCTTGGTCCCATCGTCGCTGGTCGTCTCATTGCCGGTCTTGGTGTCGGTTTCGAGTCTGCCATTGTCATTCTGTACATGTCTGAGATTGTAAGTCTTGACGGCCCCCTTACCCAAATCTCAATTCTTCAACAACAGCAACGCTAACCCCAATTGACAGTGCCCCAAGAAGGTTCGCGGTGCTCTCGTCGCCGGCTACCAATTCTGCATCACCATCGGTCTCTTGCTCGCTGCTTGCGTCGTCTACGCGACCAAGGACCGCCAAGATACTGGTGCCTACCGCATTCCCATCGCCATCCAGTTCCCCTGGGCCCTCATCCTCGGTGGCGGTCTGCTCCTCCTTCCCGACTCCCCCAGATACTTCGTCAAGAAGGGCCGCCTCGCGGATGCCACCGAGTCTCTCTCTCGCCTTCGTGGCCAGCCCAAGGACTCCCAGTACATCCAGGTCGAGCTTGCCGAGATCGTCGCCAACGAGGAGTACGAGCGCCAGCTCATCCCCTCCACCACCTGGTTCGGCTCTTGGGCCAACTGCTTCAGCGGTGGTCTCTGGAGGTCCAACTCCAACCTGCGCAAGACCATTCTCGGTACTTCTCTGCAGATGATGCAGCAGTGGACTGGTGTCAACTTCATCTTCTACTACTCTACCCCCTTCCTCCAGTCTACCGGCGCCATTGACAACACCTTCCTGATCTCCCTGGTCTTCACTCTCGTCAACGTCTGCTCCACCCCTCTGTCCTTCTGGACCGTCGAGAGGTTCGGTCGCCGCACCATCCTCCTCTGGGGTGCCGCCGGTATGTTGATCTGCCAGTACCTCGTCGCCATCATCGGTGTCACTGTCGGCTTCAACCACACCCACCCCGACCCTGCCGACGCCACCAAGTCCATCGCCGACAACATCCCCGCCGTCAACGCCCAGATCGCCTTCATCGCCATCTTCATCTTCTGGTTCGCCTCCACCTGGGGCCCCGGTGCCTGGATTCTCATCGGCGAGGTCTTCCCCCTGCCCATCCGCTCCCGTGGTGTCGCCCTCTCCACCGCCTCCAACTGGCTCTGGAACACCATCATCGCCGTCATCACCCCCTACATGGTCGGTGAGAAGCGCGGCAACCTCAAGTCCTCCGTCTTCTTCGTCTGGGGCTCTCTCTGCACCTGCGCCCTCATCTACACTTACTTCCTGGTTCCCGAGACCAAGGGTCTGTCTCTCGAGCAGGTCGACAAGATGATGGAGGAGACCACCCCCCGTACCTCCGCCAAGTGGGTTCCCCATGAGACCTTCGCCGCCCAGGTCGCCAAGGACGGCGTCCTCGAGAAGGTCCACGGCGAGCAGGTCGAGCGCCGCGGCTCCAACGTCTAAATTGTTTCTCCCAATCATCATTTGTCTATACTAGTATATTTACTCGGAATACCCCCGTGCCGTATTCTGACGGAGAGGCACTTGTGTGCGGAGTTGAGCCCAATTTCTTCCTCAACCGGGCGTCAAACTTGTTAATGCGGAATGTCTTGAAATGTTGCATGGCGCATGTGGAGGATCACGTTTGTGATGATATCCCAATATCCTAAACCTACCTACCTACCTACTCTCTAAACAGTAATTGAAAAAATAAATTCAATCATAAAAAATCTCTGCTCGGCTCATTTCCGCTGTGAACAAAAACAAAACAAAGCACATAATAATGCGACTGCCCCAAAAATGCCCGACGGTTCGGGGGAAAGCGGACCGAGGTCGATGGGGCCCCATATCGGAGCCCGACGCGTTCTTTCTCATTATTCATGCTGACTCCCAAACCGGGGTCTTCGTACCACTTTCATGTCGGGGCCCCCGGCCGCGGCCATGGACCATCGTCACGGGGGACTTTCGACATTCTGGTTGACGACCGTCGTCAAAAAGATTGCTAGGGGGCCCATCCCCGGCCTTGGCTTGATTCGGCAATTGGGGCGGGGCGGGATTACCAAGGCTTTCTGGGCGTAAGTCTTCCTCCCCGGGGCGCATCACCCGGCGTCCGCCCGTCTTGGCTCTCCTTAGCCGAGCGGTGTGAGGAAGAGATCGGGACTTGGAGGGCGTGGGCGCCGCTATTTTGGCGGTGTGATTGTGAAGAAAAAGAAGACGGCTTCAAGGGATGGCGGAAGATGTTTTATCCAGAGCACGTTTCGTGATCTTGTCAGTTCATTATTTTGGCAATGGTTGCACAGACTGGCTGATTGCTCCTGGTTGTGCTTTCCTGTCAGTGCCTCAGCCCTGCGTTTGATGAAGAAGGAAGACCGCAGTAGTTGGGTAAGGAGCCTTGGTATTATCACGAGATGTTGAGATCATCTGCACCATCCAATGCAGACGTCTCATTTCTGCTTGATACAAAACTCGCGACGTGGATCGATTTGTTGTTATTGGAATGACATGCTTGAAATGCGATTAACTAAGGTGCGTATTCCAAGGAGAATAGTTGAGACATGTTTTGCCTTGAGAAAATGGCACCCAGCGTCTTTTAACTGCCTAATATTATCCTCTTAGACATTAAAGAGTATAAGCAGTTTCGTGCTTTGTGGGGACCCCTTGCTTTTTCACTCAGAAAAAGATGATGAAACAATAAGGCGGAAATCACCTACTTGTATCGATGGATTGAGCCTACGTGTACTTGATTTGTCGCGTGACAGCATCGTTTACAGCTACTTAACGCACAATATATGTTTTTGCGTACGACAGAGGACTACAGTCAAGTTGCTAAGGTATCAAGAGCTCCAAAGAATATATGTGACGGCTGGCATAGTTTCCAATACACAGTTTCGGCCCTCTCCTTGCTGATAGGATATTTCTTTTGGTATCGATGTTGGACAATTTCGAAAGAGATGGCCAGAATGGCATTTACTTCATTGAATAGAAGGCGGTCACTGCAGTAACAAGTATAAGGCTTTTGAGATGAGTATCAACGTTTCGGGTTTTACTATCGTGTCAAAAGCAAAAGCCTATGAGTTAAGAAAGCTAAGTTGACGAATTTGTGATAAAATTGAATAAGAGCAAAGAACACAAAGGTCTAGATGTCTAATCTGACAAGAATGTCTGGTTGCCATTGAAAAAAGAAAACAGGATTTGTAACGACAACAATGCCAACAGGGGGTATATACGATGAGTATAAAGAACTTGAGTTGAAATCTCATTCGCTTTGCTCGGTAGAAACGGCGCATGTCAACCAGCGCTAACTAACACTCTAAACAGACAACTTGCCAATTGCACGCATCTGGGGCAACCTACGGGGCGGCCGAGTGCAGTGTGCGAAAGCCATGGGATATAATTATGCATCCTCTTCGGTCTCGGAAAGAAAATAGGGGTTTTGACCGGTGCCGTAGTGGTCTTTTGCTTGCCGAAAAGCCAATTAGAGCGAAAATTCCGTTCTCGGTGATCTCGGCAGAGCGGGCTGGGCAATATCGAAACTCTATTTTGACCTGAATCGAGGCAGGTTGTCACCGAGGACCGCACTTTTCAACCAATACCATTGCATGTTTTCTAATCCCCCATGTTCTCGAACCAGGTGTCATCCAGATTGCCCGCGGCCTCATTGGACTTCAAAAGGACGAAACAGACGTTCTACCATCTTTTGATAGCGAGTTGTTTATTTTCGTTGTCGGGCAAGATCAACTTAAGAAAGCGGTCGATTTCAGCCAACCTCTCTTGCTTTCAGCGGCCTCGTAACTAGAATTGGAACCACACTGGCGAAAGACGAAGCTAAGGTCACCAACACTTACACATACCTACTCTCACGAATCCGCCCCGACAAGCACAATGCAACTCAAACTCGCAGCCATATACGTGGCCCTCGCAGCCACCTCCGCAAAGGCTCAAATCGAAGACCCAGAGCACCCCTACATCCCGCCAACAGCCTCCGACCGCCGCTCACCCTGTCCGGCCCTGAACATCCTTGCCAACCACGGCTACATCAACCGCAATGGCTCATTCATCACAGAAGAGAGCGCCACTGTGGCACAGATGCAAGCCTTCAACTTCTCGCGCGCGGTGGCGGCCGGCCCGGTCCCTGCTGCCCTAAAATACGCCACGACCGGCGTGAATGGGACCTTCCACCTTGACGACCTCGCTCAGAAGCCCCTCGACCATGATGGCAGTCTGAGCCGCGGAGATCTCGCCCTGGGCGACAATCTGAAATTCAATCGAACCATCTGGGACACCGTCGTGGTAAGGTTGCCGGATGAGTACGTCACCTGGAAGCAGGCGGCTGAGGCGGGAGCAGCGAGGTTGGAGGATGCGAGGAAAGAGAATCCACAGTTCGAGCTTGATGCGGCGGGGATTCAGGCTACTTTTGACCAGATGAGTGGTATTCTGGCGGCTTTCGGAGGTAGTGTTGAGGATGGGAAGGCGAGGAGGGACTGGATCAATGCTAGCTTTGTGGAGGAGAGATTACCGTGGTCTTTGGGGTGGAAGACGTCTGAGAAGGTATTGGCTGGTGCTGATTTTGCCCCTATGGCGACGGCTTTGAAAGAGTATGCTCCCGGTGGTGTGTGAGAGATGTTTCCACGCAGACTCCAAACATTGGCAAACATTCAATTTGTATAAAGTTTTGTAACTAATGTGGACGAAAGTCTTGAGCTAACACGTGTGCATATCATTCTGACTTCCCTAAATCTCTTGCTGCTCGTACGGACTGGATCTAGACGGTGCGGTGCTTAATGGCCTTGACGCCCTTTAGATCCTTAACAATCTGCTCTGCAGCGGCCAGTGCGAAGCAACCAGCAGTGAGCGTGGGGTTGCAGGCGTTCTGCGTCGGAATGACACCGCATCCACCAAGCACGAGGTTGTCCTGGCCCCAGACACGGCCTAGTTTGTCCACGACGCTGTCTTCCTGGGACTCTCCCGCTCTGTAGGTGCCGCAGATGTGGAGCGCGGAGCCGGCTGGGAGGTACTTCGGCTCGGCTCCGGGGAGGAACCCGCCGAGGCAGCGGGCGACGTCAACCATGCTAGAAAAAGGGGTTCATTAGAAGTGCAATATCAAGAAAAGCGCATTGGAGACCTACTCGGTGATCATTCTGCGGGAACGGTCGGCATCGTCTTGGTCAATCTTGAAATGGAAAGTGGGCTGGTAGACGCGTTTGTTGTCAGCTACCGTGACTGAATCACAGACAAGAGTACTCACCTGAGGCATTCCGAAGCCATCCTTGATCTTGTCGGAAAAGCTGACATGGTTGTTGAAGTTGGGCTTGGTATACCCGAACCATCGGAGATCAACAATCACGCGTTGGTCGATGCCGGCCGGAATCTGACCATATCCGAAGGCGTCGCGGTGAATCTGGGTATGCCAAGGGTAGTCCTTGGTGAGAGGGAAGTAGCATTGTGGGTCAGGGTCGTTGTAGGGGAAAGGCAGAGGATCTTTCGGAAACTTTTCCTTATGCGCCTCGACGGTCTTCTTCTCCTCGGCGTCCAGTTTGTAAGTGTTGTCCTTGATAGCATCAATGTACTTGCGATCAAGAACAATCTGGCAGAAGGACATGGGCTGCTCCGTCATGTAGTGACCCTGTACGAAAGCATCGTCAGTTGTCACGTCAAGAGTATACCGCTGGAAAGAGCAGCAATAAAACTAACCAAAGCTTTGAGAGTCTTCCCAAGTTCGCCGGAGTTGAAAAGAATCCCAGGGGTCAAGACAGCGCCAGCACACACGACAAACTTGTTCGCCTTGATCATATACTTCTCGTTGTCGATGAGATTCTCGACCTGCACAAGTCTGACCTTCTTGGACTCATCAAGCTCAAATCTGACGCACTGGGTGTTGGGGAGCAACTTGAAGTTCTCAGCGTGGGCAATGTCGCCGAGAATCGTCGCCGTACAGGCCCACTCGGTGTAGTCCTTGTTCTTCTCCCTGCGCTTGCCGCACAAAGGCATGTTGGCAGTCTTTCGGTTTCTTTCCTCAAAGGCTTTGTCCAAGATCGACTTGACAAGCTTCTGGCGAATAGAGTCGTCAAAGATCTTGGGGTTCGTCCAGAACAGCTTCTCTGCCTCTTTGTACAGCTCATCCCACTCCTCATCGTTGAAGAGTGTCGATCGTTCAATTGTCGGGTCCTGTCGAGGAGTGCAGCACGTCCAGTGAGATCCCATGCCGCCGACAACACGCGTGGCAGCAGCGGCGGGGAGGTTCTCATACGACTTCTGGTCGGGGTTCTGGCCGTTCAGGACAAACTCCTGCTGGCAGGGCCTTTCAATAGTGAGCAAAGGCATATCTTAACAAGTATCACAGCGCACTTTGACTCACTCAGGCACCCAGGCTGAAGGTTCGAGGCCAGCGTCGTTATTGCTGGTCGGCACAGAGAGAAGTTGCAGTTCTCCCTAAACATTATCATTAGGCAAGATTCAAGTTCAGAAAAGCACACAGCTCTTACCTTGACAACACTACAGGCTTTGTAAGCAGAATTCTACTCGTTATCGTTTAGACACAAAGTCTGGAAAGGCTTACTTGGTGAAAAGGCTGATGTCCTTCTGAACCGCGATACCATTCTTCTTGTGGTCGCCGATCCTTCTGGTCTCCCTGAACGCAAAGTTAGTCGTAGATGGCCGCTTCTTGTTGGCTAGAACAACTCACTGTTCTCCAACGTCAATCATGACAACATTTCTTCCGGCTTCCACGAGTTTGCGAGCGAAGACGGCCCCAATAGGGCCGGAGCCCACGAGGAGGACATCGACCTCGTCAAGGCGTTCTCTAGGCGGCATGGAACCCATGTTGACAGCGGTTGAAACGTAGATAGGTGAGTGTAGTGTAGAGTGAATGAAATTCAGACAGATGTAAGTGAGGATGAAGAGATAGGGAAAAGTTGGTTCTCACTGCTGCCGGGCGGTCTTCAGCTTTATACATGAACAGTTTACCTCGAACCTGTATCAGCTGACAGCCCGTGGCATCAAGTCTTTACAGCCACTTCATGGAAACTGTGTGTGGGCAACCTCCAAATGCCACACGTCTCGACTCACTCTCGGGGTATACTGGGCGGCAAAAGCCTATCAGTGGAACATGTCGGAACATTGCAGGAGTGACTGTGAGACAATGCACGAATTTGATGTTTCGCGAAACAGCCGAGTCAACCAACGCCATAGGTCACCGTAGACCAGGTTTTCCAGACTTTGCCGCGACATGACCCCAGTTTCTAACGCTTTCAAAAATCCTCGAGAATTGTCTCACCGAAGGGAGAATGTGAAGATTGTTTGTGGAAAGTGAACCAACATGGGTCTGATTCAACGTGTTCTTAGCGCCCCGTTTCTCCAGAGATTGACGATAGGTAGGCTGTAAATATCGCCAGGCAATGATTAAAATGTCCAGCAACCACCTTGAAGCGCTTCCTCGTCCCACTTTCGCACGACCTCAATATACTCACCGGGAGTGCTACCATGATTCCACCTCTCTTTCAGCTCATATTATCACAGATGCTCTTACGCTATAACCGAAGACTTGCGTGCAAATATCGAGGTAGACCGATCAACATGTAATCGCCAGAAGTGTAATGAAATCAGGGCTGAGACTTCGCAAGAGAGAAATGCATCCGGATCAGGTCGAATAAACTAGGATGATGGGGTAGCACTAAATGAGGGGTTAGAGAATGCAACTTATGTCAGGTCAGGTCACAGGAACGTTGTGGTCTCACGGAAGAGCGGAAGCACAACAGTCGGCTGTCCACTTCCTCAGTGCGGAGCCGCGCGTACAAGTTCAGTTGCAGATCATGGAGGCGGAGGCTTCGAATTTCTCGATACGTTGCTACTCAGCTATGTCGGCACTTGTGAGACGCAAGACATACGTGAACTGTCAAGACGCGGAGTGGGTGTTCACACGCGAGAATGATGGACATGTCGAATGACTACACCAAGCTCGCAGGAATGAATTGACAGGTGAAGTTTGTACATATTTCCGCACAGACTTCATCCAACTTTCAGCTCATAAAGACGCTGCGATTTTTACTGCTCAAAAGGGTATTTTGTCTTAGATCAGAATGCCACAATGGCCCGAGGTCGAAACCCAAGCTTTGGCTCTGCTACGACGTCCATATTCCTCTCTGATTCTCATTGATTTTATCTTCTCACTCCCATCATCTCAAGAGCCCAGTTCGATATTAATGTCAGGAATCTTCCGGGTCGAATTCTAAGTAACACGGCGGCTTCTCATTATCGAAGGATTGCGGATAGCTATTAGGCAGGAAGCCGTCGCCCCCCTTCGGATACCAACAGAATATGTTACCTATTCAGACGCCGCAGAACCTCATGTATTCTTACGTGTTCGTACCAATTCCTAGCGGCTATGTACGTTGGACGTCCCGTCGACTAAGTGACGGTGCGGCCCGGGAGCATCTAGCCCCAACATAGTTACACTACAACCCCGCAGAACGAAGACGATGGGGCATGCAAGGGGGTCAGCTCTGGCCGCCAGCATTTCTCCGGCAGTCCAGACCCAACACCATCAAATCATCCCCGCAGGAACAAAAGACAGCGTGGCGTCGAGATGGAATGTAGGAGGCTTCACGGTCCGAGTGGTGGGAATGATGACCTGCGCTGTTACAGACAAATACGGTATACAGCCAGCCACGTCGACGCCATTTATACAAGGGTCTAACACCTCCACTAGGGCAAGCATGAGGTCTCATCCGGCTCGTCGATGGATTCTAAAGCAAGGAATTGGCAGTTTGCTACGGCATTCTATGGCTGACAACAAACATATGCCCATGATCTGACGGTGACTCGTCATAATCGTGCGTGACAGTCTAATAGTCTCACTGATAAGTAAATTGCGTCGCCTAGATCACTTCTTACCCACTTATTAGATAGGTAGGCAAGACATGTTTGGCCACAAACCAGCTGGTGGAGTCTTGCTATCCGGGCGGGTGGTGCTACCATAAAACGACGACGACGAACGACGACGAAGACGACGGCGACGGCGACGATGATGGCAGGCACAACGATAGTAGAAATGAGAAGGCCAGGAACGACGATGGCAGATGCGATAGCACGAATACTAGGGTATCAAAGATGATCAAATAGGGAAGTCAAGTAGCTTTGTAGCCTTACTTAGCTGAAAGTACCCGCCCCCATAGCAAAACTTAGCTGATAGTCCATCTAACAGTATTTACAAGTGAGGTGGAAGCAAAATCCTTCTGCTCATGTTCCTGTGGGGGTACAGCTTATGCCAGACCCGAGCTAATTGGCAATTCCCATGACATGTACTTCTGCCCGAAGTCGGGATTAGTTCATGATGAACGGTGAGAAGAATCAAATGGGTGCTTGCTAGTTCTGTGGCTATTTGAGCTCAACATACATGAAGATTAAACACATATTCGCTGGCACGTAACGACCTAGCAAAGAAGGAAACAACCGTCTGTCATTGTAAAGTTGTGCACCAAGCTAAGCCCATAAAATTAAGCCTTCTTGCACTGGCTGGCGGGCTTCTGGCCCTTAGCTCCCTGGATGCAGTTGTTGGAGATATCAAGAACATCCTTCGAAACCAATTCAGTGCAGGCCGGGCCAAGAGCTCCCTCAAAGTTGTTGCTCGTCAGGTTCAGGACTTGAACGTTCTTCAACTGACACAAAGCCTCCGGGACGGTTCCAGACAGGTTGTTGTTGCCGACGTCGAAAACCGTCAGGTTCTCAGTCTTGTACACCGTGGGAAGAGAGCCGGACAGGTTGTTTCCGAGGAGCAGGATCTCTTCCAGAGACTTGGCGTTGGCGACGGACTTCGGGAAGGTTCCGCTGAATCGGTTGTTCGCTAGGGTGATGTACCGGGCTGGGGTCGATCCAATGGTGTCTGGAATGCTGCCAACGAACTTGTTGTCGTTGAGGAAGATAACGTCCAGGTCCAGAGTGAACAGTTCGCGAGGAATAGAGCCAGAGAATTCGTTGAAACGCAAGTCCAGGAAGGTGAGGTCGGCATTGAGAACGGCGTTGGGGAACGGCCCAGACAGCTTGTTGGAGCTGAGGTCAAGCTCATACAGCCACTTCAGCGCCGAAAGGTCACTCGGAATTTGTCCAACAAAGCCGTTGCTGTTGGCGTGAAAGAAGGTCAAGTCGGTGAGCTTGTCAAGAAAGCCATCGAGAGTCAACTTCTGGCCCTCGAACCCAAAGCCGTTGAAGTCAATGCCGGCGAGAGCCTTCTGCCCCGTGTTTGGGTTGTTGTCGCAGCTGAAGCCGTTGAACTCGCAGACGTCGTTTCCGGCCCAGTTCTTGGTGATGCCCTGTGGGTCGGAGGTGATCTTCTGCTTGAAAGACTCAACCAAAAGCAGATCCCTGTGCAGATGCGACTCGCCAGAGGCGGTCGGTGCGCCGAGCGCAGAGGTGAAAAGGAGTGACGAGAAAAAAAGAGTGAACGGCCCCATGTTGCCAATGACTTCAATAATGAATTCTGTAGTAAGAAAAGGGTGGCATTACTTGCGATTAGTGGGCAATACTTCCCGTATTATAGCCTCAACTTGACGGCATACACAGATGTCTTGTCGTTCTCTCATTTGGGGATGTGATTGACACTCATTACACAAGGTTTTCGTGTTGAGGTACAAATTGAGTCAGGACTTTAGCCCCCATTATTCCTAATTACCGTATTTCTCCGTTGTTTATTTAGACTTTGGCCACATGATTGCCATCCCACGAGTTCGCGTGGACGGGATCCACAAAGTAATTAACTAGTCAGTTGGCTTTCAGCATTGACAACACCGAGCGACAACGTGGTCTAGATCACGAACCTTTCGGGTTGGTCAACTTTTACCTAAGCGTCTAGATTTCCAGGCGAATATTGCCCTTGGCATGTAGTTCTTCCCTTTTTAACTTCGGATCATGCGGAGGTCCGGATCTGTGTATATGTATGGTCGGGGCAACTATCTACCGCAAGTTCTTGCTTTCCGAAAACGTAGTCTTTTGTCTAATATTAAACAATGTCAGCCTTCTAAACCAAGTTACAGACAAAGGGCTACTCATTTCATGCCGAAATCCCTCCCCAGCTACTCATGCATACCGGCGACACTCAATCCCATTTGGTTTCTATCTACGGGAAAAATCAGAAACACACACTATGAATGACTCTGCGAACTTCAAAATTTAGATAGAATTGAGATATCTGTTGTTACATCGACAGGAGGCGAAAAGAAACTGCTGCTTCTCGTCATACTCGACTTAGAAGTGTCCCATGATGTTCCTAGGGACATATGGCTCTTCAAGATACTTGATCTCATCTTCCGTCAGAGCCTTTCCCCTCAGCTCACAAGCCTCATCAATTCTCTTGACAGAGTTGAAACCCGTCACGGGAATCGCACCCTTGGACCTGACCCAGGCAAGTGCAACGTGGCTCATGCTCCACCCCTTCTTCCCCGCGACCTCCTCAACCCTGCGAATGATCTCCTCATCAGCTTCTGTAAACGCGGGGCTCATGGGGCCCTTCATCTGCGACCGGATAGATTTATCGTAGCCCAGCGGCCTTGCCAGCCTGCCGCCAAACAGCGGCGACCACGGCATGATGCCGACGCCCGTGTCGTTGCAGAAACGGTTCATCTCGCGCTCCTCCTCACGGTAGCATAGGTTGTAGTAGTTCTGCATGGACACGAACTTCGTCCAGTTGTTCTTCTCCGCAACAAATTGCATACGTGCAAATTGGGTCGCCCACATGCTGCTGGCGCCGATGTAAAGGATCTTTCCGGCTTGGACGAGGTCGTGGAGAGCTTTCATGGTCTCTTCGATAGGGGTGGCGGGATCGACACGGT